TTAAAGCCATGTGGCTGGATTAGATCATCAAGGAGAAAGTGGAAAGAGAGAAGAGAAAGGGGACAGGAAACGAAGTTGGGTGTGAATATGTGGAGGCTTAATAAGGAAGAGCAACCAGCAAAGGTGACTGAAGGGGAGTTGATGAATCGGGAGAAAAACAAGGTTGTGTGGTGTCAGGAAGGTGAAGGAGTTAAGTGTTTCAAAACAGAGGGAGGGTCAATCTCGTGGAATACCGCGGAGAATCAAGTAGGGTAAGAAATGGAATGTGATTTTTGGATTTGGCAACCTCGGAGTGCTTGGTACTTTTGAGAAGAGAATTTCAGTGAAATGATGGAGCCAGATCCCCCACAGGGGGATTGAGAAAACGGTAGAAGGTGAGCGTGTGTGAGTCATGTAAGAAGAGGGCTTCTGTCTTTCAAGGAATATCCACTCAAATGTTTACAAGACATTCTTTACATCACTTTTATTTTATATGATGCACTGAAGCTACCAGCAGACAGCATAAAAACTGCCTTTTTCTGAGCAATGAAAAACCTAAAATATGCTATTGTGAGAATGAAAGGTTTCACTGCATCTGCACCTTCAGCCGTGAATGGAGTAATCTATGGGGGATCATCACTATCACTATCTTGCTTTTTATATTAGTTCAGGTAGAGCTGTATTATTTCTTTTTTCCTCCCCTAGGTTATAATGAGCATCAACTTCTTTTAGGGTTCTTGGGACCTACACCTTAGCTTTTTGGCCAGGAAAGAACAAAAGCTTTTTCGCCCCATGTTTCCAGGCTTTCCCACTCATTCCCAAACTAGGAATTACTCAGACAAGAAGACTCGTGACCTCCAAAAATGTTGAGTCATTGACTCTTTGGAACCACGAGTGACAAAGGGCTGTGACAGGGAGCAATTGCCCTTCTTCCTAACTGTTGGCATTAGTTTGAGATTTTGCCAGCCAATTCCCAGTTGCAATGATTCATAAAGTAACTTCCTAAATTCCATGCAGCAATTATAGGCTGGGGTCACAGATGCAGGAGGTGTGTGTGGCTGGGGTGGGGGTGGTAAATTCAACGGGAAGTGCTTGTATTGTCTAAATCCTTAGCAAATTGAGTGGGAGATGTATATGTATGCATGTATATAATTTTAATTTAAGTAGGGGGAAATATTTTGGAGACATTTGAGCAGATTAACAAATAGTATTTGTATACATGTAACTAAAACAGTAATTTATCAGGTAGAAGGCAGATGGGGGGAATAAAATGCCAACCTGTATATACAGTTGGGTTGTGCTGATGATGAAGTGCTGTTTATTCAGGGCCAGCCTAGCTTGTCAGCAACATAAGAGCCACTGCAGCACATGACTCCCTGCGTAGCTAGAAGACAATAATAAATTATCCCCTATGCAAACAGCACCGGCATAAAAGCAGATCAAACACACTCTGCCTCCTGGAATCCTGAAGATTCTCACTCATTCCCTCGTTTAATTCTGTTTTAAACATGAAACTCTTGACATTATTCCAAAGCCAGTAAGATCGAATCTGGCTTGGAGAGCTGACGAGAATCTGTTTTAGGGTTATTGTAAAATGGATTTTGTTTCTCTAACTTGCCTAGGTGATTCACATCGTTTTTAGATTTATCAGCGCTTCATTTGGTCCTGTGGAATTTGGGGTCACCTAGAGGAAAAATGAGCTAGAGCACTTCAGGGACATGATGAAAATACAGTCTCTGCAGTCATAAAAGAGATGAGCTCATGTCCTTTGCATGGATGAAGCTGGAAGCCACCATCCTCAGCAAACTAACACAGGAACAGAAAACCAAACACTGCGTATTCTCACTCATAAATGGGAGTTGAACAATGAGAACACATGGACACAGGGAGGGGAACAGCACACACTGAGGCCTGTTGGGGGTTGCGGGGGCGAGGGGAAGGAACCTAGATGACAGGTCAATAGGTGCAGCAAACCACCATGGCACACATATACCTATGTAACGAACCTGCACATTCTGCACATGTATCCCAGAACTTAAAGTAAAATACAATTTTAAAAATAAAATAAAATAAAAAATAAACAACCTATACCATCTGAATAAAAAAGAAAAAGAAAATATAGTCTTGATCCAGTGCCCAACCTGCTAAATGAGAACCTGTAGCAAATCGGCCCAGAAATGCACACCATAAGGGGACTTTTATGAGGAGGTTGCCTTAGGAACAAAGAACTGGCAGCGTGAGTCAGTACAAGCCCTGTGACAGTGCTGAGAGAGTCCAAAGGACTGGTTTGTAGGAAAATAGATCAACTAATAAATGCCTGTCTGGAGTAGTGCTTTTCAGATTGCAGCGTGCATTCCAATTCCTAGGATTGTTGGAAAATGCAGATCCTGCTTCAGTAGGTCTAGGGTTTTGCCTGAGACTCTGCATTTCCAGCAAGATACCTGGTGTTGCCAGTGCTGCTGGACTTGAGTCCAGCGAGGTCCTAGAGCCATTAGTTTAACACAGAAGAATTAAAACAGTTTGGAGATCAGCCGGCATTTTTGAAAAGGAAACTTTCCACAAGTGTGGCTCTGAACAGTGTTGATTCTCCTGATTCCTAATCTTATGCTCAGATACAAATAAAACCTGCCCCCTCTTGTTTCAGTAACCCAGCCAGGAGTGTAGTGAGAATTTTGTTATATGTAAAAATTTCTTAGAAATGTGTCTCTTCTTTCAAGGGTTTATAAATGTATTTGGAGGCCTTTATATACATAATGAAAAACATTTGGAAAGGAAAACTGTAAAGCTTACTGTGCTGAAGCCTTCAGTTACTGGAAATAAGATGCAGTTAGTTGTAGTCTCTTTTTATTTTTTTCAGGGCTGTATCTTTTTTTACAATTCATGGTGGCAACAAGTTTAGCACTGAGGCTCTTGATTCATCCTCAGTGTTGATTTGAAGTAATTTTATCTGTTGAACACACATTGTATATGAGTTTTGATTATTTTTAAAAATCTCCTTCTAAATATTTAAAGTCTATTTCTATTGTGGATGAATTAACTTTTTAAACATCTACTTAAAGATTGTTATTATGCCATTTGGAAAATAAATAAAAAGCATGAAAGCTGGTGGTACACACTTTGGAACACACACTTCCAAAAGCATATGTTCCAAACGCGTATGACCTATTTGATCATAAATGTCATTACAATAGATCCTTGATGTTCATCAGCATGAGAATAGATCCCGAGACCTTCGCGGATTCACATGTACAATTCCTTGCCACCAAAAAAGGGAAAGCGGCCTGGTAAGATGCCAGATGAGAGAGGCTGCCTCGGAGTAGATGGCAAAGCCTCCTTGAAACATGGAAGCCAGTGATGGGCAGAGCCTGCCTGCCTGCCTACCTAGGGTCTTGTGTGCCCTCTTCAGAGCCTCACAGACCTTGAGATTCAACTCAGCAGAATTACAGTATGGGTATGATGGCTATTTGAAGTGGCTGGTAAATAGTCTAAGCCACAAATACCCAATCCACGAGTTTCAAAGAACGACCAGATAGACGTTAATGTGGGCGTGGGGAAATCTGCAACTCTCTGCACTGCACCGTTCACTTCTTCACAGCGGCTGTCCTAGGAGATGTGTGTGGCACTTCCACTTTCTGTGGTGCACACTTCTGTGTTGTTTTAGCATCTTACCTGTGGCAGGCATAATTCTGATTGCTGTTATAATCAGAAAAAATCAACAGAATTCTTTAAATCCCTTGAGTGCACATTGTGGTGTTTTTGTTGAGTGACACAATAGACTGTCAGTTGATGAATTATGTAGTGTGATCATATCTGTGCTAGGATAGATACGTATGTGGACTATGATAGAAGATTATGGATGATGGAGCACAGGTTGATTTTGTGTACCTGTCTCTCCAGTCGTCCAACAAACATTTCTTGAACAGCTAGTATATGCCAGGCATTATGTTAGGGGCTAGCATATGTTCTTCACTGTACTTCTTTAAGGAAGAGAGACACCCATGCAGACAAAGTGGCTCTCATCGTAGTTAATAAAACTGGAAGACAGACCAGCTGCAGTGGCTTACGCCTCTAAGCCCAGCACTTTGGGAGGATGAAGTGGGCGGATCAGTTGAGCCCAGGAGTTCAAGACCAGCCTGGGCAAAATGACAAAAGTTCATGCCTACAAAAGATACAATAAATTAGCTGGGCATGGTGATGCACACCCGTACTCCCGGCTACTCGGGAGGCTGAGGTGGGAGGATCGCTTGAGCCTGGGAGGCGTAGGTTGCATTGAGCCGAGATCACACCACAGCACTCCAGCCTGGGTGACAGTGTGAGACCCTGTCTCAAAAATAAACAAACATATACATACATACAGTAAATAAAACTTGAAGCAGCCAGAGCACTTTTTGCAAATGATGTAAGCCACACCTGGGGATTCTGAGGTATTGGGATCCCTGTCTGTAATTATTCATTCCTCCACAGCTGCCACATAGAACAAGCAAATCTGACATCACAGCTCTTTCAAAAATCTCTCAGAATTCTACACTGGAATAAAGATCACCCAGTAAACTCAGCTATGTTCATTCATAGGAATTTCTCCTTGGAGTTAATAATCATCATTAGAAAAAAGTTACAGGAAGAAATAATAATTTCCTCCTATTCTTCTTGTGATAAATTGTAACAATAGCAGACATTCTTATATAGACCCTATCAGCGATAAGAGGGAAAATAGGATTTGCAAATTAAGTATATGAATAAATATATTAGAAAAAATGTTTAGGATATTTGTTCTTTGTCTAAACTATTCTTAATAATGGCAAAAACTCCTTTCTTATGTGGTTTGGGAAAACAAACAAGCAAAGTGTGTGTTAAGCCATAGCATGGAAGTTTCCACGCTTTCTCAAAGCAAACTGTATTTCACTTGCCTTAAATCATAAATGTCTGTCCTAAATACAGCATAAGACTGGACAAATTTGTGGCACAACTCCTCACAGCTGGGAAGTTTGACATTAATATCAAATTTCCTGTTGTTGTTTCAGAATTGTCTGTTTCACAGCAATATTACCAGTGACTTGAAAGCATTTACAGACAAGTTTGGTTTTGACGTCCTCATCCTGTTCGCCAGCTATCTGTCAGAGGAGCAGCAGCCGAGACGACAGATTGCTGTGTACTCAGAAAACGTAGAGCTGTGCAGTCAGGTGAGCCCCTCCTCTGACCCCGGCGTGTTTCCGTGTGTCCTAACCTGCTGGCTCTCAGAACACACAGTGCAAGACAGAACAGATTGGTGGCTCATGAGCAATTAGCCCAAGAGATGGAGTCCTAGAGGTTTGAGTTTTAGGAAATGTTGAGGGTATTTTGTACCTTTGGCCTTTTAAGAAAGCCCCAGAAGAATTTCTCTTCTTGACTGAATCCATGGTGCAAAACATTAGCTCTTTCTCACCCCCAAAAGAGCAAGTCCTCCTTTGGGTGCTGTTTTCTTCTAGGACTGCTCCCTAATCATAACTAACAAGGTTTAGCCCCTGTCCCAGGACCCATTTGATGCCCAGTGTTTAAGACCTGGTGATCTGATGCTTTAATCAAAGTTAGTCTGTCTCCAGGTACCAGAACTCTGACTAGGTAATCAATTATCCTCCAGGTTGATCGCTGAGTCTTTTAACCCAAGGCCTAGGAAATAAAAATAAAAATAAAAAAAGAATTAGATAAAATTAATCAATATAGGCCTTTGGATATACCAAGCCAGGTGTACTTAATAACTAATATGAGAACATACATGATTCACTGTAACAGGAGCCACATGGCCCTGCATGCTTCATCACTCATTTTTCCTCACTAATGGATTCAATGCCTCATGAATCCACGGGTGGCTAGAGGCACAGTCTCTTCCCCTTTCTTTTCTACGTCCTCCTTTCTGTCCCCCAAGAGCTCCACTGTAGCTCTCTTGACACATGCCTCTGGGTACTCTCGGGCTCTCTCAAGTCCAAATGTGAGAGAGCATCTCCTCCTCTGACCTGCATCACCAGCCTATGGTTTTTTCCAACACTTTACTCTGCATTTGGTTTCAAAGGTAAATTTCATCTTTGGTCACTGGCTTCCCAGGGATGGGATTTAGGCCTTGGAAGCCTACAATATGGCAGCTTTCAAATCACTTTTAGCAGTAGACCCCTTTTTCAAACCAATTTGAAAATTGGTTCATTGGAAACAGACAAAAGTAGAAGAGCAGATGAAGGAGTTAAAAGCCCTTGAGCTGACCCCAGTCCTCTTCTCTTCTCCCCACTCACCCTCCCCACCCTAGCAATAGCCAGAGGTGGATCCCTGGAATCTTAAGCAACAGAGTCCTGGCTCTGGCCTAGCGAGTCTCTCTTTGCCTGTGTGGTCACACCACTGGCTGAGTCAGCCTTTGCAGCAGACTGCCTGGGTGCAGAACTCAGGCTCCAGCACTTGTTAGCTGTGTGCTGCTGGACAAGTTATTTAATCTTCCTGTGTCTTCATTTCTTCATGGGTAAAATGGAAATAAAAAGAGTTCCTACCTTGTGGAATTACTGTGATGATTAAAAGAGATAATGATCATAAAACCCTTAGAACCATGCCTGGCACATGAAAGCACTCAATAAATGTTAATTAGTAGTAGTAGTATCTGTGTGAGCTCCATGGTGGTAGTGGTGGTGGTGATTATTATTATTATTATTAATTTTACCTCTAGTAATCCTGTGGGGCCATTTCAAAGGCCCAGCACAACAAAATACTCCTGACATTCCCTAAAAATCAGAAAGCCGCCACCCAGTTCTGGCCTCACACTGACTGTCAGTGTCCCCTTGCCTCCCAGGTTGGCTTTGTCTGTTTTGGGCTCCATGCTTCCGTTACCTGGGGTGAAAGGGTCCGAGGGGTCCTGAGTGCTGTTCAGAAAGGTCAGACCCTGGGAGCATCTGTCTTTCCTACTCTCTCTCTTGCATTCTGAAGCTATCAGATGTTCAAGCAGCCCTGGCTGCCCCTCCCAAACAAGAGCCTGTCTCCTGATATTTTCCCCTTATTCCAACACTTTTCCTATAGTTGTCAGCAACATGCATTATCTCTGCTTTTTTTGCAACTCAAGTTACATTGCTGTTGGAAGATGTTATTATATTACAGTTAGGAAAGAAGTTAGATGGTTTAAACTCCTTTACCCAAAACGTTCAGGAGCCATCAAAATCGAGCACCTGGATTTTGAATTAAACAGAGAAACAGTTGGATAGAATTGGAGAAAAGGTTGGTGGTATAGTAATCAGAACTTTCCAAGTTTGAGATCTTCTTTTTCAGACAGATGAACACAGACTAATTTTATATTTAAAAAATTAAGAGAGATAAATTGCAAAGCGCAGTTGCAAAGTGCAACAGTGCCTGAGTGCTGACACAAATTCCTGTGCCTTCCGACAGATTTGCTGTGAGCTAGAAGAGTGTCAGAACCCTTGCCTAGAACTGGAACCCTTTGACTGTGGCTGTGATGAGATCCTGGTGTACCAACAAGAGGACCCTTCAGTGACTTGTGATCAGGTGGTTCTCGTTGTCAAGGAAGTCATCAACAGGAGGTGTCCAGAGATGGTCTCCAACAGCCGGACGTCCTCAACAGAAGCCGTGGCAGGCAGTGCCCCCCTCTCCCAGGGGTCTTCTGGGATTATGGAATTGTATGGTTCTGACGTAGAGCCACAGCCCAGCTCTGTGAATTTCATAGAGAACCCTCCAGATCTCAACGATTCTAACCAGGCTCAGGTGGATGCCAACGTAGACCTCGTTAGCCCAGACAGCGGACTGGCTACCATTAGGAGCAGCCGCTCATCCAAGGAGAGCTCTGTTTTCCTCAGTGATGACAGCCCCGTGGGAGAAGGTGCTGGGCCTCACCACACCCTCCTCCCAGGGCTTGACTCCTACAGCCCCATCCCTGAAGGGGCGGTTGCGGAGGAACACGCATGGTCTGGAGAACATGGTGAACACTTCGACCTCTTCAATTTTGACCCAGCACCCATGGCTTCTGGCCAGTCCCAGCAATCTTCTCATTCTGCAGACTACTCCCCAGCGGATGACTTCTTCCCCAACAGCGACCTGTCAGAAGGACAGCTCCCCGCTGGGCCTGACGGACTTGATGGCATGGGAACCAACATGTCTAATTATTCGTCCACTTCACTTTTGTCGGGGGCTGGCAAAGATAGCCTTGTGGAATATGATGAGGAGTTTGTCCAGAGACAAGAAAGTCCCAGAGATAACTCTGAAAGAAATTTGAGCCTGACAGATTTTGTGGGAGATGAATCCCCTTCCCCAGAAAGGCTAAAAAATATTGGAAAGAGGATCCCACCAACACCCATGAATAGTTTAGTAGAAAGCTCGCCATCCACGGAAGAACCAGCCTCACTCTATACAGAAGATATGACCCAAAAAGCCACTGACACAGGTCACATGGGGCCACCTCAGACCCATGCACGGTGCAGCAGCTGGTGGGGTGGTTTGGAAATTGACTCCAAAAATGTTGCAGATGCGTGGAGTTCTAGTGAACGGGAATCTGTTTTCCAGAGCCCTGAATCGTGGAAAGAGCATAAGCCAAGCTCCATTGATAGGAGAGCCTCAGATTCGGTATTTCAGCCAAAGAGTCTCGAATTCACAAAGTCAGGTCCCTGGGAGTCTGAATTTGGTCAGCCTGAACTGGGTAGCAATGATATTCAAGACCAAAATGAAGAAAGCTTGTCATTCCAGAACGTGCCCATGGAGAAGCCACCTTTGCCAAATACATCTCCCCAAGGAACAAACCACCTGATAGAAGACTTTGCTTCTTTGTGGCATTCTGGTCGCTCTCCCACAGCCATGCCCGAGCCCTGGGGAAATCCTACAGATGATGGTGAACCAGCAGCTGCGGCGCCATTCCCAGCCTGGAGTGCGTTTGGTAAGGAAGATCATGCTGAAGCGTTAAAAAATACCTGGAATTTGCACCCAACAAGTGGCGAGACACCTTCTGTTAGGGACCCGAATGAGTGGGCCATGGCAAAAGGTGGATTTGTCTTTTCTTCTTCAGAACTACTGGACACTTCACCCAGTGAGATAAATAATGAAGCAGCTCCAGAAATCTGGGGCAAGAGGAACAATGACTCCAGGGATCACATCTTTGCACCTGGAAATCCCAGTTCTGATCTGGATCATACATGGACTAATTCTAAGCCACCAAAAGAAGATCAGAATGGTTTAGTGGATCCTAAAACTAGGGGCAAAGTATATGAAAAGGTAGATTCCTGGAACCTTTTTGAGGAGAGTATGAAGAAAGGAGGGTCAGACGTCCTAGCTCCTTGGGAAGATTCCTTCTTATCTTACAAATGCTCTGATTACAGTGCATCCAACCTAGGAGAAGATTCGGTGCCATCCCCCTTAGATACCAATTACTCCACCTCAGACTCTTACACATCACCAACATGTGCTGGAGATGAAAAGGAAACTGAACACAAGCCATTTGCTAAAGAGGAAGGTTTTGAGTCAAAAGATGGTAACTCCACGGCAGAGGAGACTGACATTCCACCTCAGTCACTGCAACAGCCATCTCGAAATCGAATCAGTTCAGGTCCTGGGAACCTAGACATGTGGGCTTCACCTCATACAGATAACAGTTCTGAAATAAATGCCACTCACGACCCGGATGAAAATGAACTCAAGACAGAGCACACAGATGGTAAGAATGTCTCCATGGAGGATGACGTAGGGGAAAGCAGCCAGTCCAGTTACGATGACCCCAGCATGATGCAACTGTACAATGAAACAAACCGACAACTCACACTTCTGCACAGCAGCACCAACTCCCGGCAGACAGCGCCTGACAGTCTCGACTTGTGGAACAGAGTGATTTTGGAGGATACGCAGTCCACAGCAACGATCTCAGATATGGACAATGATTTGGACTGGGATGACTGCAGCGGGGGTGTGGCACTCCCCACTGACGGTCAAACAGAAGGATACATGGCTGAAAGTACCGAGCCAGAAACCCGATTTACAGTGAGACAGCTGGAACCCTGGGGCTTGGAGTATCAGGAGGCAAATCAGGTAGATTGGGAGCTCCCTGCCTCTGATGAGCATACCAAGGACAGTGCTCCCAGTGGACATCACACACTGAATGAGAAAAGTGGGCAGCTAATTGCAAACAGTATTTGGGATTCTGTCATGAGAGATAAAGACATGTCGTCGTTCATGTTACCAGGTTCCTCATATCTCACAGATTCAGAGCAAAGCGAATTGCCTTCTGAAATCCCCAGCCATTCAGCAAATGTTAAAGACACTCACTGCCCAGATGCGCCAGCAGCTTCTGGAACCAGTGAGTCAGGGGCACTTATATCTCATCTTGACAACCAGGAGACAGAGAGGGAAACCCTGCAAAGTGATGCAGCATCCTTGGCAACTAGGCTTGAGAATCCAGGGCATTTTGCACACCCAGATCCATGGAAAGGTCATAGCAATGGACAAAGTGAAAGTGAGAAGGAAGCCCAGGGAGCCACCAACAGGGAGCACCTCGATGAAGAGGAGGTGATCGCGTCTGGTGTGGAGAGTGCCTCAGGGATTTCTGAAAAAGGGCAGAGTGACCAGGAACTGTCTTCTCTGGTTGCATCTGAACATCAGGAAATCTGCGTTAAATCAGGCAAAATCAGCTCTCTTGCAGTCACTTTCAGTCCTCAAACCGAGGAACCAGAGGAAGTTTCCGAGTATGAGAAGGGGTCTTACAATCTAGACTCCCGTGATGTGCAAACAGGGATGTCTGCAGATAACCTGCAGCCAGAAGACACCTATGAACAGAACCTCATGAGTCAGAGAAATTCAGGTGAAACTACTGAGACTTCAGATGGGATGAATTTCCCAAAATATGTATCTGTACCAGAAAAGAATCTTGAGAAAACTGAAGCATGTAACATTCTAGAGCCAGAGAATGTGGGTGGAGGGGGACCTCACAAAGTTCCCCAAAGCCTTGACTTTGGGGATGCTCCTGTAGACAGTGTCGTGCATGTCAGCTGCACAAGTTCCGAGATAACCAAAAATCTTGATGTTAAGGGGACTGAAAATAGCCTTCCAGGAGCCAGTTCATCTGGAAATTTTGACAGAGATACTATTTCTAGTGAGTATACTCATTCAAGTGCATCAAGTCCTGAGTTAAATGATTCTTCAGTTGCGCTGTCTTCCTGGGGCCAGCAACCCAGTTCTGGGTATCAGGAAGAGAACCGAGGCAATTGGAGTGAACAGAATCACCAAGAATCTGAACTAATTACCACTGATGGCCAAGTAGAAATAGTTACCAAAATGAAGGATTTAGAGAAAAACAGAACAAATGAGTTTGAAAAGAGTTTGGATCGCAAAACTCCTACATTTTTAGAGATCTGGAATGACTCGATTGATGGTGATTCCTTGTCCTCTTTGTCTAGTCCTGAAACAGGCAGATATTCTGAGCATTCAGGGACACGTCAGGAAAGCAATCTCATCGCTAGCTACCAGGAGAAAAATGAACATGACATTTCTGCAACTGTGCAGCCAAAGGATGCCAGGGCCATTTCAACAAGCTCAGGTTCTGACGATGACAGTGTCGGTGGTGAAGAGTCAGTGGAGGAAGAGATCCAGGCGGCCAACTGCCATGTTGCTCAGGATGAATCCAGGGCTTGGGAGTCACTGAATGAATCGAATAAGTTCTTGGTCACAGCTGATCCTAAGTCTGAAAATATTTATGACTACCTAGGCAGCTCAGAGCCAGCAGAGAATGAGAGTAAGTCAAACCCATTCTGTGACAATCAGCAAAGCAGCCCTGATCACTGGAATTTCTCACCGTTAACGGAGACTGAAATACAGGTTCCAGCAGTGGAGAAGGAGATGAGATCTTCTCCAGAAACAGGGAAGACAGGAGATGTTGCATGGCAAATATCTCCCAAAGCTGAACCAAAGAACGAAGATAATTCTCAACTGGAAATGCTGGGCTTCTCAGCTGATAGCACTGAGTGGTGGAATGCCTTACCCCAGGAAGGGAGACTAATTGAGAGTACATCTGAAAGGGAGCTGTCTGATCCCAGTGATGTGTTGGAGATAAATTCTTCCGTATATCAAAATGCCAGTCCCTGGGGAGTACCAGTTCAGAATGATATTGAGCCCGTGGAAACACACTATACTAATCCTTTTAGTGACAACCATCAGTCACCCTTCCTGGAAGGTAATGGGAAGAACTCCCATGAGCAACTCTGGAACATTCAACCAAGGCAGCCAGACCCAGATGCTGACAAATTCAGCCAGCTTGTAATATTGGACCAAATCAAAGAAAAGGACTCAAGAGAGCAAACCTTTGTGTCTGCTGCTGGTGATGAGCTGACTCCTGAAACACCGACCCAAGAGCGGCGTCAGGACGCCATGCTGTCAGTCTGTGATCAGCCAGATGCAGCCTTTACTCATGCAGAGGAAAATGGTTGTGTTACATCTAATGTTTCAACAAATGAAGGTCAAGAAACAAATCAGTGGGAACAAGAAAAATCATACCTGGGTGAGATGACACATTCAAGCATTGCCACAGAAAATTTTCCTGCTGTCAGTTCTCCCACCCAACTGATAATGAAGCCAGGCTCTGAATGGGATGGCTCTGCCCCAAATGAGGACTCCCAAGGTACATTTGTGCCAGATATTTTACATGGCAACTTTCAAGAGGGTGGGCAGCTGGCCTCTGCCGCGCCTGACTTGTGGGTGGATGCTAAGAAGCCCTTCAGTTTGAAAGCAGATGGTGAGAATCCTGATATCCTGACACATTGCGACCATGACAGCAATTCTCAGGCTTCCAACAGCCCTGATATATGTCACGATTCTGAAGCAAAGCAAGACACTGAGAAGCACCTCGGTGCTTGCATGGGACCTGAAGTGGAATCCAGTGAGCTTTGTCTCACTGAGCCAGAGATGGATAAAGAACCCATTCATGAGCCTGGACAGGAGTTTGTCCCATCCGATGCAGAACTCGATTCTGAAAACGCAACTCCGCTGCCTCCAATTGGCAATCAGGCAGACATAAAGGGCTCCTCTCAGCCCGCCTCTCATAAAGGTTCACCTGAACCTTCTGAAATAAATAGTGATGACAATACAGATTTACAAGCATCAGAAAAAGGAGCCAGCCCAGATATGGCACCAATTTTGGAACCAGTTGACAGAAGAATCCCAAGGATTGAAAATGTGGCAACTAGCATTTTTGTAACTCACCAAGAGCCAACTCCAGAAGGCGACAGTTCTTGGTTATCAGACAGCTTTTCTCCTGAAAGTCAGTCTGGTGCAAGAGCTTTGTTTGATGGTGAGCCACGTTTATCCACAGAGAATCCTGCCATGGTTCCTGATGCTTTGCTAGCCTCAGACACTTGTCTGGATATAAGCGAAGCTGCCTTTGACCACAGTTTCAGCGATGCCTCAGGTCTCAACACATCCACGGGAACGATAGATGACATGAGTAAACTGACATTATCCGAAGGTCATCCTGAAACGCCAGTTGATGGGGACCTAGCGAAGCAAGATATCTGCTCATCCGAAGCCTCGTGGGGTGATTTTGAATACGATGTAATGGGCCAGAATATCGATGAAGATTTACTGAGAGAGCCTGAACACTTCCTGTATGGTGGTGACCCTCCTTTGGAGGAAGATTCTCTGAAGCAGTCGCTGGCACCATACACACCTCCCTTTGATTTATCCTATCTCACAGAGCCTGCCCAGAGTGCTGAAACAATAGAGGAAGCTGGGTCTCCAGAGGATGAGTCTCTGGGATACAGAGCAGCAGAGATAGTGCTTTCTGCGCTTCCTGATCGAAGAAGTGAGGTAAACCAGGCTGAGACCAAAAACAGACTGCCTGGATCCCAGCTGACTGTGCTGCATATTCATGAAGACCCTGAGTCCGTTTATTTGCCTGTGGGAGCAGGCGCCAACATTTTGTCTCCATCAAGCATTGACTGGGAAGTAGAAACAGATAATTCTGATTTACCAGCAGGTGGAGACATAGGACCACCAAATGGTAAGAAACATCCCATTCTTCCACCTCCAAGAAACCACTGCGTTAATTAAACTAGTGAATATTTATAAGACACACTCTTCCTACCAATGAGGGTAGAGAGGAACTAACTACATTTGCAAGGAATGCCTCACCAAGTCCTGTATTATAACAGCAGTAAAAACTAATGCATATATAGTACCTATCCCTGATAGTGCACAAGAAAATCAAATGACTCTACAAAATAAAAATGTTTTCTAACTGGGCACAAGGGCTCACGCCTGTAATCCCAGCACTTTGGGAAGCCAGGGAGGGTGGATCACCTGATGTCAGGTGTTCGAGACCAGTCTGGCCAGCATGGTGACACCCCGTCTCTACTAAAAATACAAAAATTAACTGGGTGTGGTGGCAGCCGCCTGTAGTCCCAGCTACTCGGGAGGCTGAGGCAAGAGAATAGCTTGAAACCAAGAGGTGGAGGTTGCAGTGAGCTGAAATCACACCATTGCACTCCAGCCTGGGTGCTGGAGCGGGACTCTGTCTCAAATAAATAAATAAATAAATAAATAAATAAATAAATAATATAAAAAATAAAAGCATTAAGTTACCTCTTTTAGATGATCATTTGCAAGGATAACAAATCGCACAATGTGTTCATTAAACCATGTTCTCCTCTTCTCACTTTCAACTTCCACTTCTAGGTGACAGCAAGGAAATATCAGAATTGGAAGAAGAAAAAGTAATTCCTACCAAAGAGCCTGAGCAGATAAAATCAGAGTACAAGGAAGGCAGATGTACAGAGAAGAATGAAGATCGTCATGTACTACACATGGATTACATACTTGTAAACCATGAAGAAAATTTACATTCAAAGCCAGAGGCCTGTGAAGAAAGAGAAAGCATAGCTGAATTAGAATTGTATGTAGGTTCCAAAGAAACAGGGCCGCAGGGAACTCAGTTAGCAAGCTTCCCAGACACATGTCAGCCTGCCTCCTTAAATGAAACAAAAGGTATCTCTGCAGAGAAAATGTCTTCTAAAGGCGATACGAGCTCATCTTTTGAAAGCCCTGCACAAGACCAGAGTTGGATGTTCTTGGGCCATAGTGAGGTTGGTGATCTATCATCAGGGCCTGGGTGGTCTGGCAAGACTGTGGAGCCATTCTCTGAACTCAGCTTGGGCGAGGGTCCCCAGCTGCAGATTCTGCAAGAAATGAAGCCTCTAGAATCTTTAGCACTAGAGGAAGCCTCTGGTCCAGTCAGCCAATCACAGAAGAGTAAGAGCCGAGGCAGGGCTGACCCGGATGCAGTTATGTTGCAGGCTGTCACCCATGACAATGAATGGGAAATGCTTTCACCACAGCCTGCTCAGAAAACCATGATCCGTGACACGGAAATGGAGGAGGAGACAGAGTTCCTTGAGCTCGGAACCAGGAAACCAAGACCACATGGGTAAGCAAAAAGCTAGATTTATTTATTTTTGCCTGAAAAGCAATTTATTTAGAAACCTGGGAAATGGTTAGAGGTTATGGAATATGAAGAATACCTGGATGATAGCAGCTTTGCTTATATTGAATGCAAGGCACACCATCAGTAAAAGCAGCTACTAGATAACTATTACTATAATGATGATTTATGTACATTTTCAGTCAAAAAGCCCCTTCAATTTTCATTCAGAGTCTTATACCTACCCCCCAACTGCCACCCCACCTACTTGAATACCTACATGACTCTTAAACAGGCAGTTGGGAATACAAGGGAATGACACTAACGTTTAATCAGCACCTACTATGTGCGAGGCAGTTTGCATATATTACCTCATTTAATCCTAACATGCCAGTGCGGGGAATGGAAGGGATGGGGTTGAGTAGGGGGATTCAAGGCTCAGAAAGTTTCTATAACTTGCCTAGAATTAAGTAACCAGAGTGAACACTCTGGGATTCAAAGCTTGCCACCTCCAAAGCCTTAGCATACAGAAAAGTCATTTTCTGGTTTTATGTAAGCACCTAATTTATCATTGGAGACAGAGAGACTCCATAGGCTTCTCCAAATCTCAGTGTAAAACATTCATTCCCTAATTGGCAGAGAAATTGGCAAACTGTCACCAAATCAGTGATTCAGTCATTCATTCACTCATTCATTCATTCATTCATTCACCATGTGGTTTTTGAGAGCTTGCTCTGTGCCATGGTCCGGGTAGCCAATGGGCATATATCAGGGAATAGGATGTCATCACTGCCCTCAAGCTGCCAGTCTCTGCTGAAACTGTTTAGCATTCTTCATTTCTCTTCATTTGTGTTTATGAAGCCCTCCTGCTTCCAGGGACAAAAGAACAAATTGTGAAAAATAACTTAAGTAAAGGGGAAAGTCATGTTTCCTCCTTGAAATGTAACAGAGAAAAGATATCGGCCAGGCACGGTGGCTCACACCTGTAATCCCAACACCTTGGAAGCCCAAGGTGAGTGGATCCCTTGAGGTCAGGAGTTTGAGGCCATCCTGGCCATCATGGTGAAACCCCATCTCTACTAAAAATTCAAAAATTTGCCAGGAGTGGTGGCAGCACCTGTAATCCCAGTTACTTGGGAGGCTGAGACAGGAGAATCACTAGAACCTGGGAGGTGGAGGTTGCAGTGAGCCAAGATCGTGCCACTGCCCTCCAGCCTGAGCAACAGAGCCAGACTCTGTCTCAAAAAAAAAAAAAAAAAGGGAGAAAAGATATCTTTTTTTTTTCCTACTCAGCGTGGGAATATAAAGGACTATACATACCACGTACCCACAGTGAGTCAAAGAATCTGGATTCCAGCCTGGCGCTACCATGACTGATTATACATTTTAGGATTAATCCCAGGCTTAGGTTTTCTCATCCGTAAAATTAGTGAGTTGGGCTGAAAAATCTCAAGCCTTTGTGCAGTATTAAATTCTGGGAACTTAATTTGTGTGGAAACAGAATGTGTCCAGGAGAGCTTTGGCATTCGCAAATTACATTTCTTGACGAAAGGAACAAGGACAATGGAAAGAATAGCTGGGGTATGTTGAGGGTTAGCAACGTGCAGAAGGGGTTAAAAGCTCTACCATATTCCAGGGCAGCTTCATAAATCCAGACGTTGTCAGCTGGCCTAATCCTTCTTTCTTCCTGTCAAGCTATTTTCTTCCAGAGAGACCTCAGATCCGTTATCAGAAAGCGAGTAGCAGATGGATCCCAGCAGCCCTGCTGGCATCGTTATAGATTGAGCTCAGAACTCAGGCAGCCATGAGTTGGCTAAGCTATTGTTTGGCTTCTTGTCTGCCTTTTGCACACGCCCCTGAGATCCAATAGATGACAGTCGGTGTTCAATTGTGCCACCAGTACCTTTTCTTTCAACACGATTTCTTTGCTCATCCCTTTCCGCTCAGCTTTCGTAGTACTGAAACTTTCCTCACAATGGGGATGGGGCAGATTTTCGCTCCGGCATGTGTATTATCTTTTGCATAAATAATTTACTCTGAATGTGTAAGTCTCCCTCTGTGCTAGATTTTCGGAGAAGAAAGAGTTGTCTAAAACAGTGGTTCTCTAAGTGGGGTCCTAAGAACGGCAGCATCAGTATCACCTGTTGCTTGTTAGAAATGCAAACTATTGGCCCTAACTCAGACCTGCGGAATCAGAAACTCTGGGGGTGAGGCCCAGTCAGCTGAGCTTCAGCAGCTCCTGGTGCCCTCCAAAGCTTGAGAACTACTGGTTTAAAACACACTGTCAGTCGTCTAGGAGTTTACAATTTCATTAAAAAGTTAGACATAAGTAAAAAGGTAGATAGCAGTGTAATATTTAAGTCAAGCTAGTCAAAGCCCAGTGTCAGTTTAAGTATAAAATAGGTACCAACTATGGGCATTTAGCCATAGACTGGGTGCTAAACACTCTGTGTGCACTGTTTCACTTTACAACGGCAACCTGCGAGACAAGAGTTACACAAGTGAGGAAATAAGAGGAGAGACGTCTGTTTCGGGCACCTTTATGGAGCAGGCAGCAGGAATCGCTTATTCTCTGTCAGACACAGGAGACAGAGTGCCCAGGGCCCATGATACTTTAAGGAGCCCATGAGAATATTTTCTTTTATAATCAGAAGAAAAAATTATTATACTTTCACGTGGATTACATTTTGTCTTTATACCAACAACGTTATAAAATAAACTTTTAAAAAATGTTTTAATGACAGAAGGGGCTTATGAGGGCAGAAGTGCCTAGGGCCCATGAAGTCGTACTGCAGCTCTGAGAGGTACATTTAAACAGTCACTAAAGGAAAGGTCACACTTTGGGAAGGCGAAGAAGAGGGTAAGAAGCTAGCTGAGTGAACTGGGATGAGTGCTATGAAGGAAGTCATGGAGACAGGAAGGTCATCACAGAAGCAAAACAACGAGATAGCTGTGGTTTCCCAAACAAAAACCTGGAAATATCTCTGATGCATAATCTGATCCTAGAACAGAAGATCCAAAATCAAGACCATTCTGCAAAAAAGAAAATTAAGAAAGGTTCTTCTTAAATAGAGACAGGTTCATAGTATGTGCAATATGACTCACCAGTTGTAAATCAGCTTCTCCCCTCCCCTCCTCAGCCTCAGCCTCTCTCAACTCCCAAACTGTTTTGAGAGCTGCAAGCCACATTTTCAAAGTCTGAGAAAGCATGAGAAAAATGCCTTTTCTCCTCATATGCCACCTACTGACTCTTGTTAACAAAAGTTGTTACTAGGACTGAAAGATAGCCTCTCTCCCTTGAGATCTGCAGCACTGCTTCACGTTCCCTACGATCAGTCTTTTCAGAATCCTTTGCCAACACCTTGGTCATCCTCCAGCTGTAGACCTGTCCAGCAGGGGATCAAATACCAGTTCCCCACGACAGTGATGGATGTGCCTGATCTTTCCTACGTAGTCACAAAGAATATTTGCAGGAGAATCTGTAGCACACAGACCTTTCTTAAAGGAAGAAACACTTAGCTGTTTATTTGAAAGAAAGCATGGTTGGAAGAATGATGTGTGAAGAAGGGGGTAAGCTGGTTACATGTTAGAGGTTTTCAGAAAAACAGAACAAATAGGAGATATCCGTATTTATATCTCCATCTTGCTATCTAGCTACTGAAAGAATTTTAAGGAATTGGCTCATGTGATTATGGGGGCTGGCAAGTCTGAAGTCTGTAGGGCAAGCTGGCAGCCTGGAAACTCAAGCAAGAGTCAGCATTGCAGCTGTGAATGTGAGTTCTGCAGGGCTGCAGGCTGGACACACAGGCAGGTTTCTGGGCTGCAGTCTTCAGGAGAATTCCTTCTTCAGAAAACGTCAGACTTTGCTATTAAGACCTTCATCTGATTGGATGAAGGCTCCTCACAGTATGGAGGGTAATTTGCTTTACTCAAAGTCTGCTGACCTCAATGTTAATCACATCTAAAAAAATACTTTTACAACAACATCTAAACTGGTGTCTGACCAAATCACTAGGTATCATAGCCTAGCCAAGTCAAAACATAAACATTAACTCTCACAGGTTATAGCAAAAAATCTGATCTATATGTCAAACAAGGATTAAGTCATTAAAATTTTAAAAGTCACTATCTGAATTATATGAAAATGTGACAATCAATATGCAAATATATTGGCTTTCCATAGATATAAGCAAAGAAATAATATGCAAGGGAATAAAAGAAAATCATTTCCAAGAGGACTGAGAAAATGGATGATACTCAACTGATGAATCTTCGGGAGATGCAGGCAGCTGTGGGGGATGGAGGATGGGGAGGAGGGGAGGAGAAGAGAGGAAATCGTTGTCTCGTGTACTTTTGAAACAGTGTTTAGACATAACCTGACCCTCGTATTTGTGGAGCTATATCTTGTTTCCTAGCTCTGTGAGGTGAGGTATTCAGTATTCCCTGAAATAAAGACGACCTTCAGACACAGTGTGTTTGGTTCTATGGTGATCTGTCTGCATCCTTTCTTTTTAAATTTGTAATTTTTCACCTTTTTTTCCCATCTGATAACACTATAGAATAGAATTTATCTTTCTGCTTGTGAGTGACACCGTGAGATCTTTTTGTTTTTCGTGAAATCAGGCTTTTTCTGTCTATGACTTACAGTTGGGGAGTTAGTACATTGGGTCTTTTATCCACGTGAATGTTGAAAATCAGAAATAGATTTAAAAATCAGTTGACTCTTTCTCTCGCTGTTGGGTAACGGGAACTCTGAGAAGCATCAGGCCGACCAAGCGTACCCCACTTCTGAACATTTGCCATTTCTCAGAGATGAGTTGATGCTCTCTGAACTCCAGTGCGCCCTTGCTTATTCACCGTTTTTGGGCTTTGCCCTGTACCAAACCTGGAAGAACAAACTTAGCACTGACTCTGTGCTCATTTATTTTTGTAATTATATTTGATCCATTGGTGCTGTGTGTTGTTGAGTTGGTGGTGATAAGTATCATTAAAAGTCCTTTGCTGGG